ACAATTCTACACGTAAACAATCCCCAAATTTGTTAATTGTTAATCAGTAAGACATTGAAGCACCGATTTACAATTCTACACGTAAACAATTCCCAAATTTGTTAATTGTTAATCAGTAAGACACCCAAGCACCGATTTACAATTCTACACGTAAACAATCCCCAAATTTGTTAATTGTTAATCAGTAAGACACCGAAGCACCGATTTACAATTCTACACGTAAACAATCCCCAAATTTGTTAATTGTTAATCAGTAAGACACCGAAGCACCGATTTACAATTCTACATGTACACAATCCCCAAAGACCAAGATAAAGAAGCTTGGTAAGTAGAATTTAAATTAAATAAGTAGAGTTGTTTAAACATTTGTACAAGCTGCCCATTGTCGGCTAACAAAACAAAGAATTAAATTTTGGCGGATTGCTACATGTTCTTCAAATACCTATAGAGTAATAGATATCTTTTTTGTGAGTGTAAAACACTTAAATACACCAGTTCGAGAATTGAAAATCATTTGAATTTGTTAAGGGATTAACTGATCACATGTCTTCCTCTTATTTCTAGTAATGCGTATGATATCTTTTCCAAGTCTACAGATTTGTACATCAAGCAAATGGGACAGGTAGTTGGAAAGTCTTTCAATGGTGTGGCACACTCGTATTCAGGCCTCCAAAGTTATTACAGTATTACTATCTTAGACATAAGGCCATGCTCACAGAAAATTTCATTCTATAGTAAACAAACTTCTAAAGGATACTAACAACTTTTTTTTTTCAAAAACAGTAAAATTGCGAATGCGACATATAATTCAGCATATTAGTTCAGTACGTAACTTATCATCATAAAAAGTTTAGTTCAACCTATAAACTCAATATTTGAGTTATTACTGGGAGGTTTAATAACTACTTTATCTCAACTCCACAGTGATGGTAATTATCTTTTAGATAGAAGCTTGTATCATGGTTAGTTCTGGTGGTTAACATGTGTTATTAAAACATCAACACAACTTCAGAGAAAAAACATGGTTAGTTCTGGTGGTTAACATGTGTTATTAAAACATCAACATAACCTTACAGAAAAAACATGGTTAGTTCTGGTGGTAACATGTATTATTAAAACATCAACACAACCTCAGAGAAAAAACATGGTTAGTTCTGGTGTTGATGTTTTAATAACACATGTTAACCAATAACCTTACAGAAAAAACATGGTC